ATATAAATGCATGCACAATCTGGGAGTATTCCGCACACAACAAATCACGGAACTCACTCTTTGTACAAATGTTAAAGTAATACGACAGATACGGTGAAATGATCCAGGATACGTTGTGCGAACCTGTTTTGGCTTTTCTATTCAAATTTGTTAAGAGGAAACTACGCTCCCAATTGTACTGTGGGTTTTTTGGCACAGTTTGGATTCAGACGTATGTAAAAAAAATTGGCAGGTAACTCGTATTATCAAGTCTACATTGAATACAGTCGCCAACTCTCAAAGTTGTACAAGCGACGCATTCCCTAAGAAAATCTTATGGCACTGCTTTTCATTTTTTCCTCAAAGCTTCGACTGAGCGCTTGGGGACTGGAATATTCTTTTACTCCATGCTCTTGCCCACGAAGTCCCAAGATGTTTCCGATCGAACAGACTGGTCAAGAGCGAGGGGCGATAGCGTTGTGTGGTTTATACTGTTGCACAAACTGAGGCCAAAGCGGACTGGCCTTTTCATCCCGCGGGAACCGCCTTCTCATGTTGGACATTGGAGGGACTAGATGGCTGTTCAGAACCGCGCTATAACTGGAAAGTATAATACATCCTATTAAAAGAAACCGGTCCATTTCGACCACTACCATACTATCAACTGTACCTGTTATTCTTCTAAAAACGGCGGATTCAGCCTATCACAGTCTTCGAGTCCGCATTAAGGTTCTATGCAATCCACCCGCTTATTTTACTGAATCTATGAACAGCCAAAATTGCCTGGGATCAGTCATGCCTAAGCGCTGTCTGACATCTTCACACGGCCAAAGGATTGGATTATGTCACTTCGGCTCTCTAGCACCGGCGAACAGATAATGCGTGTCGTTAACATTGACTTGTTCCTGCCCAACTCACATGAATCATTTCAGGTGCTTACGTAACCAGGCTGATTAGCATTTGCTAATCCCTACGACATTACAATAAGTTTGGACCATTTCGCATCATCCGTATGTGTATAAAAACAAAGATGAGTTTGATTTATCTCCCTGACCATTCAGAGGGGTGAAAATGGCTTTTTTACTGATTAGAAGAACCGGTACGAGAGGGAGGGGAAGGGATAAGAAAGAAACGGACGGTTTCGCATTGAATTATTTTGGAACAACGAGAGAGAGTGAGTGAATGCCGAAGCATTTGGAAAAGATTAGGCAGAAGTTGGTTTACTCAGATTAACCAAGCATCCATGTCAGTCACTATGATGCTAATTCGGAGTGAAGTATTTCCCTTTCCACAGAAAAAGACCACATTGAAGACACGATTTGTGGTCAAGGGGGTTGTCACCGGCAAGCCCCAGTCCGTCAAATGAGATTTCAACCCCAGCGCAAGCACCACATTTCGGTAGCTTAGCGCTCACTTATTCATCTCACTAGCGTTTATTGTAGTTTTCTACCCGATGTGCTAGGATTCAGGACAGGTGATGGTGGTTTGAGTGACTGTCCACTGGCGTGCTTCGTGTACTAATGTCCTAGGTAGGAATTCTACCTCAGTGGCCGAATAACGGTGGTGGATTATCTAGCTGTTGTCTGGCTCAATACCACGCACAGTCCATTGGGGATTTATGTGTTTCACCTATGCAAGTTATGGGGTGTTGGCTGCCGTTTTTCATGAGTGAACAATGGGTGCTCTTGACTAACGGGTTTATCCCCTTTCTGCCACTTAGGAGACAAGGGTATGCAATAAAATGTTTGATCAAATAATTCATGTCGTTACATATTATCGAAAAAAATACAGTATTATCAATCAGGCTGTTTTCCGAAAGAATTCCAAGAAGGAAAAGAATAATGATAAAATTTGTGTTCAGTGACGACACAAGGTGGTTACGCAACTTACCACATGAGCCGACGAAGCTCAGTTGCTTCACACTGGATGTCTCTTCAAAGTTTTTCAAAGTACCAAGAGTTACTCTGCAAATAAGAATACAGCAGATTGAGAAAGACCGGTCGGATCAATCTGGTAACCACCACAAACACTTAAAAAGCCTCCAAGCATCTGGTTATTTGTGACTCCCGTTCTGAAATCTGACACGCATGGGAACAGAAAGCCCTTAAACCATACAGACCATATCTCTGTCTGACCGATAATTCGTGATCGCAATCCTGAGAAACTGAAGGTCGACCGAACATTATCTTGCGATAAGTAATCGTAAATGTACATTTGTTGAATATCTGACACGCGTACGTTTCGTGCTATTCGACTTGAACGGTGCGAAATCGAACGAACTGTGAGCGTGATCGGGATGAAGCAGTAGCAGTGGCAACATCCTGGAAATACGGTGCTGATGATTATAAACGAGAGGATTTCGACCAACTGGGACTCACCGTGTACCGTTCAGATAACCGGTAGCCATTTTCTTGATCGTGGAGATTAGATAAGACGTTGTGGCATTCTTCGTGTGCGCTAAGGAAAGTTACAAAACGACAGTGTGAATCAGACAGTGCGAACAATCATTGTTTCTCCTTTTTGTTTATTCGTATAGTAATTTGAACATATTCACACACAAAATCCTCAGAAGAAAATTGTTACCCAAAGATAAAATGTGTTGGGCACCAGAAGAGAATAAAACCGACCGAAGTTATTTTGGCCAATCGATCCGAAAGTGTGCGACTAACGGAGAGATCTCAAATAGAAATAGGTGAGAACTTCAAGGGTAAAATTAAAACAGATGTCAATCCTCGGAACGAAGCAACGGCCAACAGGTATCGCAACGCAGGCAAGCATGACTCAGCTAGTGACTAGTAGACCATCCATCTAGGTGAGATACACTAACTCAGCATGCGGACTGCAGCTGATTGTCCAAGAGGGACCAAATACAGTCAGTATACTCAGATAGAGTCTGATCGCGAATAAAAAAGATTCCACCACAAAAGACTAACACACACACGCACACCAACGAACACATGCAGAAAACAGCACTGTGTGTGTGCACAGACTGTTTGCTCACTTGCGATATTGAACTGATCTAGACGAATTCATCGCACCAAAAGGAGTGAGGAAAGAACAAAAGTGGACACAAAAATATTCAACAAAGACCATGAGATGCTACAATTCACACTCGAGCCTGTTCGGTTCGTTCAGCTGGAAAAAGAATACCGAGTGAAACTGAAAAATTTAAGTTTCAAACAGAAATAGTTTATGATTAAGAGAAAGAGCCAAACCACACTGAAAAGGCGAAGACATAGAACACACTTTACGAAGCAAATCGACTGCTCAATAACATTTATTAATGTTGCATGAGAGTATAGGAGGATTTGATTCAATTTCATAGGGGGAAGCCGTCGTCCTATACTCACATGTATCAAGTAGTCAGACTGTGAAAGTTTTCAACCGAGTCATAACCCCGGAGGCTAGTGCTGAGGTGAGTAATGCTCGATGCTCGCAACAAGCTCGTTAAGACGGTTTGTGCTTTATCGTGTAAATGGAAAATGAAAAACGGTCTGATCAGCGGCCTGGTTGGCGAGTGAGCAGCATGCTTGCGTTCTGTCTGTGAGGCACCAGGCACAATTTCCACTTGGGTCGATGGATTCGCACTGCTAAGGAGACCCGAACAGGTCGAAACAGCTGTACAGTGCTTCCCAGCTTTTCAGTTCCTTTGCTCTATGCACGGCGGATTCCCTCTATGAAATTTACCAATGTACAGACTAGAGGAGAGTCACACTATGATGAATTAATGGTCGTTTTGAGGTTAGAAAGGAATGCCCTGTTTGATGCACATCTTCGAGCCCCCAGAAAATCACGTAATACAGCACTGTCGTTACGTAGAGGACGAATTTACCCATACATTGAAACATGTATCGGAGAACCAACCGGCTATACCAATCAAAAGATTCCGATTCCATCAGTACTTTGGTTGGTAGTTCGGTAATATACTGGTTCCAGTAATTTTCCCGAACAATTTCACCAATTAATTGATTTTTTTAATTAGATACCAGGCTGCTGCGTGTAACACACGGATAATCATTGGTAACTGTTCATCATTGAACTGCAATGCGATGGCAGTTTTACAATGCCGTGATCTCTCATAAATCAATTTTCCTATTATATACACCATTGCATGATGAACNATGATGAACAATGCAACAGGATTAATCCCATGGTCACGAGGACCGATTGTTCACTGCTGATAACCGAAAACCTAATCCCTGGGATTTAGAGAAATAAGAATCCTAATAGGATACGTGTGGTTCAGAGCCAGACGACAGTTGAACAAATTTTGGAGCCTTGAAGCCTAGAGCCGAAAACATGTCAACACCTTTCAAAATATCAACAAAAACTCATTGTGCACCGATTGCAATTAGTTGTTCTTTCTCTTTCACTATTACAACAAATATGGAATACCGTGCCTCGGGAATACCTCGATCGCTCGTGAAGGAACTGAACTTCTCGTACCGTGCGTGCATGTCGTACAGTCTGTTGACATCAGTGCGCGGAGCACGATGAACAAAGATGAGGCCCTAGATAAACGCGTAGTATGAATGTACAAAAAGGGTACGGTACATCCGAACAACAAAGGCAGCATCTCAAATACAACAGCACATTTATTGAAGTCGCGGATGACACATTCCCAATGTTTTATCGGTGTGAGTGAATCATAGCGCTGTACGGGTGCATCAGTATCTCAAACGCTGAAACCAGTCAGATTCTAAAAGACCCAAGTCGTAATATGAGTTTAATCACTGCTACTTTCAAGCTATCAATTAATCTCTTTTGGAGATCTGTAACTTCCAATTAATTATTGCATCTGCAGCGATTAGGAACGGATTAGACGTCTTGGGCCATTAAGAATCTGATCATACGGAGAACTCGGAGATACTGATGTCCTGGTACACCTCTTAGTTCAGATGACCCTGATGTCTGTTTACGTTTTTCACCCTACCAGTCACGTAGATGAGGGGAGCTTGCAAACCTCATTACATTGGGTCAGGGTGTGGGTAACCGGGACTTTGAATATCGTTCGAAAGGATAGTCAAAAGGCGGAAGGAGAATCAGATGGAGATTTTCCGATACCACATACTGAATTAGATAGGCCTGTAAAACTCACAGGGAGCTGCCATGAAATAAATAGGCTAGATAAAGTACCCAAGCGGGAAATAGATGAGTTTGTTATACGGTACCGACTGGCGTAGAGACAGTGATGGAGATACGCACCAGTCAGATGAAACTGTTAAGTAATACCAGAATGTGTGACCCAGAGTGCATGGATTCTGAGGAGGACGGGAAGCTCGAATGGACGGTTCACGAAAATAACGAACTTACTTGATCGGAAGAACCAGTGGTGCACGGGGAAAATGAGCAATGGTCTTCCCGGACTGGTCCAAGCCCGTTTCAGAAAAGCAACACATGTTCGAAAACAGTCCAGGATGAAGTTCACATCCAAGTTTAAATAGAATGAGTGGTGATCAAAAAACTGTCATAGAGCAGATAAAAACGATGGACAGAGGGAAAAAGAAAGATAATAAGCGTTAAGATTAGTTCGAATCGATATTTTTGGATTAGGGATATACTTCAAAATGAGTAGTATATGAATGACTCGACAAAATTACCTGGAGGCAAACGGCCAGTTTTGCGGTTCTTGCGATTCGAGTCATTCACATACTAATCATCATGAAATATTTTATAAAGACTCTCAATTCGTGTTTGTTGCGGTTAGTAGCATCTAACCCATCTACAAAACATCGAATCACAGTGTTGATTCTTCAATGGACAGCTCCTTCAGACTCGTCCATTCAAAACTACCCGGTGTTGCAAATGAGGTTACTGAGATGAACATACCTATATTATTAATAATAATAGTAATATATAATACATGTTATATATTATATATGCTGTGACGTCAGTTAGAGTGCATAATGTAAAATCAATCTGATGAATACCTGAGGAATAAATGCTACTGTTTGGTTTGCCAGACGATAAAACTGGCTCGTGGAAAGAACTCCCACTTCCTTGTTCGCGCGACCACTGAGTGACAATGTGTCACAAACACCTGTTCAATGGAAGAGTGGAAAAAAAGAAAAGAAATTCGTCAAGAGAAGAAGATGCTACTTATTTCTACGGCAGGAAACGTGTAGAACAGTGATCGATTAAATCGAAATAATCGAATTCTATTCCGACGCAAATCACACTGAACAGGAGATAGTTCTACGCCAAGAATAATTGGTGTGCAAAATAACAGTTGGTTTTATATAGCAAATCAACATATGGTTTTCGTTTGTGGCTGGCCCAAATCAAGTTTTAAGCAGATCTTATTCCAGAGACAGAGATATCTGTTCATCTGCATTCCCTACTTGTGGAGTGAACTGATGACAATTCATCAGTTTGGTGCTGTTTTTGCATCCGATACGGGAACGTTCTACACGCGACTTTGTTATCCAGGGCTCGTTTGTACTTGTTTGTGAATACTCCGATTGGGGCTGAATCTCGACCAGAGACCTTTATTATTATGACGGATGTAAAGATCTCTCTCACTGCTATTGTCAGTCCACCAGTGCTGAGGTCAACACAAATTCGATAAAGCAATATACATACTGACTGCACATCCGATTTGGTCACCAACGCGTTAGATGGCCTAATGGTCCACAATAAACTAGATAGCATCTTTCTACCCCGCCACCAACCTAACCACCTACTTCAGAATGTGGGGTCTTGTATGATGAAATGNNNNTAGAAAACCGTAATGTAGTAGTATGAGAAGGTAACCTGGGAGAATGCTTTTCTGAAAAACGTGTGTCATTCAACGCTACTGTGCAACGGTGGTATGTTTGCATTTAGCTGTAAATAGTCAGTACACAGTAGGCGCTTTTTGTTAGTGCTCGGCGCCGTGTGTAAATCGAAGTAGGGTAGATTGGCAGATTGATTTTCAAGGTTTCGAACCAACAATTGTGTCACCCGAATCAAGATGCGACGAATAATCAACGCTGGTTTTCTCGCTCTCTATAGTGCATGATTGTCAACAAATTATATTTAACGATTCAATTCATATGGGTTCGGGAGAAAAATGCGGGCATTGGTCTATGTGGTTAAGAATACCAGAAAGATTCATCCGACAACAACGCTTCGACTGATGGATGGTTTCTGTGTGCCATACAATCAAAGAATGGTTAGAATTCTAGATATCCAAGCCGATCTTCAGAACACAAAAATCGCACCCAATTTAGGTACGCAGTGGTTGCATCGCAAGAACACGCGGGGGGGGGTGTCCTTAGTTTATTTAGGAGTGGGATCAATAGAATAAAAGTAACGCCAAACCGTGTGTTAGAACCTCGGTGAAATGGTAAGCGAGATACTTGACGGGAATAGATTCGGAAACCAGACCAGTATGAGATTCATCTCTATTATTCTCCCGGACCGGTTTTGTACACATCCTTTTGAGAGTTAGCAATATTACATCTATTACGTTATTAGCCTGAGAGGAACAGGATTATTACGCTTTGTCAGTAGTCTATACATGCCCGGAATCCTTGTTCCAGTTGGTCGGATTCGCTCAGATGTGAATAATCAAGCGATTAAACCATTAAAGTCAAATTTGAGAATTTATATGTTAGGACCGAACCCGTCTTCAGATTCTGACTTGGCAAAGCTTAAGTAAATCTTTGTGAATACATGTTACAGGACTCAAGGAAACAAGAAGACGATTAAAAGCTTGGAAATAGGGGAACACTGGTGAGGTTCAAAAGAGCCGCAGAAAAATCCCGATCAGATAAAGGCACAGATATGACCATCATGAACAAGCAAGATCATATAGTTAGGATATAGTAATTCTCGATTATAAGGATAAATTACAGATAAAAAACGAAGAAAAAGACAAAACGAACAGACTGAAAAAAGTTACCCCGAAATTTACGAAACCGGAAACGGAGAAGTGTGATAGATGTGTTTGACGGAAGTAGATCAAATGGAACGAGGATTTCCAGAATGTATGGACTATCAAAAATTCATCCGGACGCCGTTCCGATCACGTCAATGTTCAACATGTGTAATTCACTTTATCACCCTCTCTGTTTGGTTTCACTGAGACTAGAAAACTAGAGTCACTTCACGCAGTTCTGGTGATCATGTTAACCTACCATGAATCGCATCCGAAAACCTGGATGACACTAGTTGACCTGAGTAGTGTTGAAAACAGGTGTGCCCAGCTCATTGCACTTAGCCTAGAAGCTATGACCGAAAGGCGTGGCGCACACGGTGGTGGAAGATACATGTGTGCATCTACTACGCCAGCATCTCAATACTATGAGATTCTGAATGGAAAACCTTGATGCACGATCCCAAGGGAATGGGTATGAGACGAAGTTGCGTGAGGAAAAAGGTACCCATCGCTTGAACAACACTTAACTGGAATTTGGCTTGTGTATTTTAGTTCATTTTAGAAAAACATTTGAAAAAATGATATTCATGTGAACTTAAATAACTACACTACTGACACAAAAGATAAGCTTGGGATCAAAACACACTTCTCACATTCAAAAAGGTAGTTGATTGGGGTTATAAGTTGGTGAATCGAGTGTGTCATATCTTGCTTTGTCATGACTAATCGGCACACTTTTAGGGATTTTCGACAGACGATCATCGATCTCTTCTTCTCACGGAAACTGAGAAAATAAATAACTGCCCATTCCAGGAAGTTAACCAGATGTTACTTTAAACTTGAGTGTAAATAAGGTATTGATTGGAACAGTAAACAGTCTGGGTGTCAACCCTCGTTTGTGAGCGGCGCAAGATAACACTCTGAGGAGAAGCTACCGTACAAATAATATGTTGATGCTTATTAACGTGCATTAGTCAATCGGACAAAATGATTTCAAGTACGCATTTACGCTCACTTCAAAGTGAACTTTTGTATCATACGAAAGTAAATAATGTTCGAGGGAGTAGTCTAATTTAGTATTGCTTGAACGAAAACGCGGAAATGATGGAGGCCATTGTTGACAGTGTCACATAAATAATCGGTAGAAACTGTACCGCATGAGCGGAATGTGGTGCGTACGTGTATGTGTGTGTGTGTGTGTGTTTAAGCAAAGATACGTGTATGGAATGTCGCGAGAACCGTTTCAAATAAAGGGTATACGGTGTTTTATGGTCGACCAAACCGAGTTTCTCGTTGTTTTCATTCATCCAATGACACAAACAAACACAATATTCCGTTCCTGTTTATCGTCCCAAACCGTTCAGAATTTATGAACAAAACAGATCGATCAGATACTGGTGATGATCAAACCTACCCAATTGTTTGTACAATTGTCCGAGTACTTTGGCCGGATAGATGTGAATCCCAGCCTCGTTGTAGATTTCATCGAAGGTTTGCACTTCTATTTGCAGTTCTTGCAGATAGTTCTTCATATCGTCGTCCTCTGCGACTAGGACCACTTGGACAGAGAGATCTGGTTTCGGCTCGGTCAGCTGCATCCAAACGGAATTCAGATTTGGAAAATGGAAACGGAACAACCTAATAGTGCAGGTTACAAATGAATAAAAGGTGGCACACACACAGAAGCGGATGAATAGATAATTCCACGGTGGAAAATGAATTTGTCAGAACTTTGTTGTGTGTAAGGCACTCAGTGTGAGTTGGACTGATGTGAGGCACTTCCACTCTAGCTTACCCTAGCTCACAATGACATGATAAAGAAACCATGATATTTCGACAAGATCATTCGTATGGTTGATTTTACTTCATCGATAATTTAAAGTTGAGGTGTATGAAAACCGCTTATTTCTTAGTCTCTACAACCACATCCACATGATAATTGCGTAGCAGCGAGAGCAACTTTTGGCACAGTGCAGATAGGAGAGGGCACCACATATACGAGGACCGACATTACGGCGCAGTCGAATGATCCGGTACAGAGTGGAGATTTAGTGTCAACTGTTTGTAAAATCCGATAAAGTATAGCTATGCTTGTTAAGGAACTTGACTCGGTACGGGGCGCATGAAGTGCTCCGATACGTAGATAGAGATATTTCATGGGGGTCGAGTATAAGAAACGGAACACACGTTTCCCTCCAACTTCAAATTTCACGAACTCTGGGAAGGATTAGATAACCGCACTTTGACCAGATGCAATCGTCTGTTATTAAAATTCTACCTCAAAAAAGAGATTCAACAGGTGTTATCAACGAAATGAACGGAACCGGGTTAGAACAGGCGAGGTCATTGTTAAGTATCATTACACACCGTTCAACAGACGAGCTAAACCAAAGCAAGGGTAAATGAATACAACTACTCTTTAATGAACGGAGACCCACTGTCCCATCTAATAGCTGTAAAAGAAATCTTTTCAACAGGGATTTATGGGACCTTGAGTTGCATCCAAATTTATCGAGAAGCATATGAGCTCCTATCAAAACCACACATTGCTGCTAAGTAGTTCTCACTTGGTTATCTAAAGACTCTTGAAAAAACAATGACGCTGGGAGCTTCTCTTGTATGAAACTACCAAGAAACTTTGAGATCTTTACAAAAGTTGACCTAGCCCCTAAAAGGAGCAACCGGAAATCAAGTAAAGTAGATTACAACAAAGTAACCGCACATAATTTCAGTCCATAAAACAATCGTGCACAAAACTCTGTTCTACAAAACAATTGACAGGAAAAATCGATTTTTCAGGGCTTCTTCATTAGCTACGGAAACAGCATTAAAAAAATCAACGCGATTAGTCAAGCGACAAAGAGCGCAAATTGATCATTACCATTACGGCGGCATTGTGTGNTGTGTGAGTACTGTTGGTGGAGCACCAGTTTGTCTGCATATCACGAAGCACTATTGAGAGAAAATATTATGCACCAAAAACAGTAAAACACGCATTGGATTCAATAATTTTGACTCGGTTTCTTGCCACCTGGTAAATACTGACTCGAAAGATGGTTAGTGTGACTAGTACTACCGTGCTTGTGAGGTGACTTGATGCCGAGTGTGATTCAACCAACTTACGCGGGCATGAGGCAAATAAAACTGCCTGAAAATAACGAAAACAAANCAAATATGAAAATGTTTGGTAACTTGAGAGGGGGAAGTTGGCTCAGCGAACGTTTGTTGTTTTGGAAATTGACAAGGTCCATTGTGAATGGTCAATAGTTGTGTGACATTGTGCATCCCACTTCGGTGGTTATTTAGTCACCTTATTTTTAAATATCTGTAATAAATGTACATAAAACGTACGAAAAAAATACATCACTTGTCATGTTACATGACGTTGCCACAGAAAATTCATTCCTTTTTTCATTTTTTTTCTCATTTTTATTTTTACACAATAATACAATTTTCAGGAAGGAGGAAGTGGCCAATCAGAGGGCTGCCATGCAACACACAAATGGGGAAAGTCAGGTGGTAGTGGTGGTGGGACTCGAACACACGTCCTCTGAGGTGATAATCTGGTGGCGTTACCACCGGGCCACCACCGCCCACGGTATTCCCAGTTGACCGTCTACTTCCTTATTCAATTTGCATGATGCAGTAGCTCCGAAAACCGACGACTACACGCAACACTTTGAATGGTTAAGAAAAGCTAGAGAACGTTTCGAGTGACAACAGGTGAATGAATAGACTAAGTGAATGAAAGCTAACACGACAGATTACAAATGCACCAGGACATGCACGATGAGCACATCGGTTTGGAAATCATATTTGTATCAATTATTGTCACATTTTCGTTCTTATTTTCATGCACCCTTTTCTATTGCATGTTAAATGATACTCTTTTTTATTACGGCTGTCGTACCGGATTCAGTATTTCAGTGACGCGGACAGTTTTAACTTCGAGTTTTCTTCCGTTTGCTTGTGTCAAAAAACGATACATTATTACGTTAGATTTTCGAGCATGTTTCAATCGCATACGAACTCATATTCTAGTAGAAAAAGCATGAAAAATGGTACAGGGCGAATTTAACGCTCCACTTTTGGAGCACATCGGCCAAAGTGATCGAGTAAAAGCGAATATCGGACTAAGGATTATACTGGCATTGGCCTTGTAAAAAGCAAAAATGTGGGGAGGGGAATAGAGCAAGCTTGATGTGGAATGAATAGAGATCAAGCATTACGGGAACAGGACAGAGATAAACTATTGGTGTTCGACGACCGCTGCCCTACGCCGCATCGTATGAGTCTGTTGGGGAAACCGGACAAGCAATGCTGAGATTAGGTGCAGAGTTTCAGTTGGTCACGGTCGCCCACTGTATCAAGTGGTTAACCTCCGTGAATCACGTTGGTTCGGATGTGCCGTACCTGTTGCCAAATGAATTGCCACGGCGCAAGCTGTTCACCGAATCAAGTGATGGGTAGCAAAAAGTAAAGGGTGGTCAAAATAAAACTATGAATGAGGATATGAAAACCCTGACCAACAGACCCGACCGTATAGGTTGCATTCGGTTGCCTGGATGGAGACCTTGGGAGCGAACTCCACCGATCGCTTCCAAACTCGTAATGCATACAAGGTAAGTGAGAATGTGTAAGGAGGATAGGGACTGAGGCTAGTTTTAGGGACGGAAAAAGAAAGCGAACCTCTATGGTCAACACACAAAGAGCATACTGCCCAGCTGTGCATACCTACTATTTCAACTATAGTGGTTTGATAAGAAGTGACAGCGAGATTGCCACTGCTGTCGGTTTGCTGCCACGACCTTCAGCGTCTCCAACCATGCGATTACGGAGCTGTTCGGACCCCAACGCGGAAGACGAGAGACATGCATTTATTCATGCCTCGTCTCCACCTCATCTGTTGGTCTCCACGTGGTTTTCTCCAGTCTGCAACAGCCACTGCAAATAAGGTGCTCTGCGATAGGCGACCGTCGGACACACGCAAAACGTATTCTAACCAACAGAGTTTATTGAGGTGAATTTTATGCGATAGCGAGTTCTTGTTCGATGTATTCCCAACTACCCAACGACTTAAGTCTAAGTTACTAACCCTCTCACTCCATCCAACCTGGACCAGACTACGTAAGCATCGATTGTCGAAAACCACTAGGCGGCGGATGTCTTCTATCCACAAATTCAAGGTTTCATCACCGTAAAACAGAATTGATCGTACAGTGGCGCAGTACACGAGACTTTTCAACTTCAGTGAAACGTTACGTCTTGCCACATGTGTTTCGGTCCTGCGTACACTGCTCAAGCCTTGGAAATACGAGCGGTTATCTCCTTTGACGAGCTACCGTCGTTGGTCACACAGCTACTCGAGTACGAGAAGCAGTCAACTTCAGCTAATTCCTGACCGTCTAGTTTCAGGGCGGAACTCGGCGATACCCAGTCTTGCAGCATCACTTTGCACTTTGAAGGTGCAAAGCGCATGCAAACAATGAAATTAGGTTGAAAGGGATAAGGAATTAGTCAAATTGAATGAGCAGCAGTGATCAACATGCAAAGAACAGACCCGACTGTATCTACGCATCGTTAGCAGCAACCAAATTCGATGATACGTGAAGAACAGAATATCGCCGATATCTAGCTCAGGAGACAAAAAACAGGTTGTCTGCTAGATGTATCCTACACTTCCAACTGCCTTTTCAACATTTCGCCTGCTAGTCTACGTATGTCTTATTCCATCCTGAAGCACCAACCGCTGCTGCCTTGGGCAGTATGGTATGGCATAAAAGTGTAAGTTGTAACGCAACCCAAGAAATTTATTCACAAATCCAACCCAAACGTGCCCAAAACATGGAATGTAGTGCCTTGATGTTGATGACCTGATAGTCTCGTTGAATTTGGGTCAAACTACGTAAAGATTTACGGCTAAAAGAAACCTCAAATCGATGCCTGTCACCTCAACATCTCATCACCGTAAAGAACAGACCGTACCAAAGGAGACAAACGCCCGTATTTCCAAGGCTCGAGCAGCATATGCAGGACTGAAACACCTTTGGCGTAGACGAAACGTTTCACTGAAATTGAAAGGTAGTGTATATTGTGCTAGCATTCGTTCAGTTGTGCTTTGCTTGTGAGACCTTGAATTTGCGAGTAGAAGATATCCGTCACCCAGAGGTTCCCGACTAGCGGTGTTTACGTATTTTAGTCCACGTGGGATGGAGGGGACGGGTTAGTAATGTGGAGGTAATCTGTCGTGTTGCGAAGTTTATCAGGGATAAACCTGCTAGCACAACGAATTCAGATTAGTAAGCTTCGCTGGCTTGGGTACGTATTGCGTATGCCCAAACATCGTCCGCCGCACCGCGCTTTATTCGCTGTAGCTAATCCGGATTGGAGGAAACCACGCGGAGGTCAGTAGATGACGTGGAGACGAGGCATGAAGAAATACACAGAGCCTTTAGATAGAGTAGGTGTCTCTCGTTTTCCTGGTTGGGGTCCGAAGGACTCCACAACCGATTGGTTGAAGATATTGAAGGATATGGCAGCGAACTGACAACAAAGGCTCTCTTGTTGTCGTTTCTACCAGGTCAAAATGCTTGAAACGGTACGTATGCAGAGTTCTATTGTGCACTCTGTGTTGTCTGTGGTGGTTCATCTTTTTCTCCCTCTCTCAAAGTAGGTCCAATCCTTGTCCACCTTAAATTTACCACCAATCTTGTATGCACTGCGAGTTTGGTAGCGATCAGTGAACTTTGCTTCACTATATGTCGCTGTACTTGGATGATGATGATGACAGACCGTATCACGGTATACGTGGCATTTAGATCTCAGAGAAACGCCAAGGATGATTCCGAGGGACAATATTGTCTGTGACCATCAGGATATATTATGATACATTTATGACCATGAGTGGAGTTAAAGAGCGTGGCATAGGAAAACGGCATTTGTACTAAGACCAACAATTACACTGACAAATAGAAACTCAGTATTCAGAATAATTAACTCGATGGAAGCAGTAAACTGTAAATACCGGCACAAGTTGACGGTCCAACAGTACAAAACACCAGTACGTGATTGCACAAACCGCTCGCAATCATTTTTCACAGAATCCACTGAAGTCAGTTCGACGACAGATCCTCACACAGAGTGCAAAGTATCCGCAACCGGAGACGGAGAGCGGTATAGACGAACTTACCAGGCGTCGTCCAAGTGGATCGATCTCGCCGGGCAGCAAAAGGCCTTCGTAAATGATGTTCGAAAGGATGTACAACGATTGGCCCCAGATGTGGGGTAGATTGCCCTTAGTAACTCGATTCTGTGAATGTGGTTCGGCTAATTCGGCATCAATGTTCTCTGCCGGAACAGCATATGATTCGGGCATGAGAACTAAGCTCATGGTGGTACTCAGGTTTGTAGCTTCACTAATACGTCGACAAACAGGCTTCTCCCCGGTATTAGCCCCCTCGCACGGCTGAGTAGACTGAGAGGAGAAACAGGGCACAGACGATTGCATGACAGGATGTAAACTGCGAACTGATGGATGAAAAATACTTACGACAAAATTAAGAATGATGGGTTTTCATAAACCAGGATGAACAAGTAGACTGATAATCATCATTCCAACTGATCCTATCCAATTGTTTCGTACTAAAGACACCGATGACTTACTTACTCTCCTTTCAATAGCAAGTTGTCGGGTGTATGCCGTAGCAGTTTCACCGGCGCAAATACCCTAACCGTTACGAGAAAATGATTAAAGGAAACTCGGTTTTCGAACACCGCTGTGCGCACCGCATAGATTACTTTGGCTGGGGCACATGCTACGCAGATCACCAAACAGATTGAATGAGCGTGTGATGTTTTCTGAGGTAACAGTTAGAAGAAGATTAAAAACGACCAAACTAAAACCTGGCATGAGGATAGGCTGTGTTAGGTCCTCGATTGGGAACCTCGGGGTCACTGTAATCGATGATCGGACCCTGGGTGATACAGCTGTGTCGTAAACAGTGGAGCTCAAACATCTTCATCTCCTTGTAACTTTTGTCTGCTTGATTGGGCATTATCGTATTACATTATACATTATATGTATCTGAGTTCACACTGATAGCCAAATAAACCACAGTACAATAGTCTTTATAACAAAGAAATCCGTCCATGATTCATCTGAAGCGCCAATCATAGGGGTATAGGCCGAATCCCGATAGCGTCAAAGCTGTTGGCTTCGTCATTCTCCGCCGATTGTCTATTACGCGTGAGGAGCAGACCCGCAAGGGGCAGGCTGGGTTTCGCGCCGGTCGTGGATGCATCGATCAAATCTCCACCCTCAGACAGCTGCTAGAGCACCGTCACGCTTACCGTAGACCAACGGTCATCGTGTTCTTAGACATTCACGCGGCCTTCAATTCTGTTGATAGAACCGCACTATGAAGGTGTCTGTTGATGAATGGAGAAGTGTGTCGATCCTCAAAGAGTTGTAACTTCATACCTCAGGTCGGGTTAGGGCCTATGGCCAACTTACGCCATCCTTCGCCGTCTTCAGTGGAGTTCGACAAGGCTGCCCTATGTCCCGATTCCTTTTCAACTTTTTCATAGAGGATGTTTTACAGAATGCTTTGTCCGGTCTAGCAAACGGTGCAGTCGAACTCCTCCCAGGGAACAGAGTCCTTGACTTAGAATATGTCGATGACATCGTTTTGCTGGGTGACAACACACAGGCAGTACAAGAGGCTTTGAACCGCTTGGCGATCGAGGTATTCAGAGATGGTATGTGCTTTGCACCTTCAAAGTGCAAAGTGCTTGTTCAAGACTGGCAGGAGCCTGTGCCTGTACTCACCCTGTGTGGTGATCAGCTAGAAGTAGTTCAGAACTTTAAGTAACTCGGGAGCTTGATCGCAGCTGGTGGTGGTGTTGAGGAGATCACATCACGAATAGCGAAAGCTAGAGCAGCTTTCGCCAACCTGCGACACCTGTGGCGCCGGCATGAAATCCGACTATCCCTTAAGGGAAGAATGTACATCGCCGCAGTTCGCAGTGCCCTGCTTAACGGTTGCGAGACCTGGCCTCTCTGAGCGGAAGATGCTAATCGACTTTCTGTATTTGACCACCGATGTCTCCGAAGCACTGCTCGTGTCTGGTGGGAACATCGGGTGAGCAATGACGAGGGTAGTCGTGTTTTGGGTGTGGATAGTCGCCCTCTAACAGAAGTAATCGCTCTACACCGCCTCCGATGGCTGGGTCACGTATTGCGTATGCCTGCCCATCGACTACCTTTCCGTGCTCTCTTTGTACGTGCCGGGCAAGGCTGGAAGAAGCGGCGCGGCCCATCTCGACTACCTTTCCGTGCTCTCTTTGTACGTGCCGGGCAAGGCTGGAAGAAGCGACGCGGCGGTCAGACCATGACATAGGCTATAGGTATGAAGAAGCTGGCTCCAGCTCTCGCTTCGGTTGGTGCAGCCCGCCTCGCAGGTTGGAGCCCAAGGGATGAGGATTGTCGTTGGTTAGAGACTCTCAGAGATACGGCCCAGAATAGAAGTCAATAACGAGAATGCTGTACGATCTGTCTATCGAAATCCCGTACCCATTAAGAAAAACG